ATTATTCAACGTACGAATTCTTTATTTATCAAAATAGCGCCTCGCGTCATTTCAACGCTTTCAATCGATGTTTTTTATTTGAATCCCATTGATTTCTTATTATATGTTTCAAATAGGGTGAATGGAATTTCAAAACGGTATCGGAGTCACCGTCTAGCTCGGAATCTTATTCGAACGCATTCGTTGCAGGGCGTGAAAAGAATTTTACGGTGTGCTTATAAATTCTGATGTTTACGGTCAATCGGGGGATACTGTTCGCTGAGCCAGCTGAGGACACCCCCATCGCACGCGCACGTGTGCGCGCCGATGTCAGCGTTTCCGCGTGCACATGTACGCTCCCCCGTGAAGAGTCCGGTAAATATTTCGCTAGGTTTATACGCGACAGCGGCGACTTTACTGGAAAACCGCGGCCGATCGTTCCGTTTTTCCCATCGTTCTGCTGATCCACCGGTTCCTTTTTCTCGCTCTAGTATCCAGCCGGCCGGGAGGTCCGCATAATATCTCTATTTACCGGAGCGACGATGTGCGGTACTGGCCGCGCGTTTATTTACGAGACGGGCATCGTAGTTAAATCGCAGATAGCAACACAGATTTGCCGTGTCGACAACAACGGTGCTTCTCGCCAGGAAGAGACTCCTTAGAACCTTGATCGGAACAAGGCGAAGAAAGAGACGGTCGGCACAAGTCGAGGACTCGCGCTGACTACGCGGTTGTAATATCTGACCTATCCGTGAGAGTCGCTCTGTAATCTCATCGAGAACGGGATCGTGTCGACATCTCGCCGGTGAATCGCAGTGTCGATACGTAACGTCCGACGACCGGAGTCGCCAAGTTCGCCGCACGGCAAATGTCGCAAGGTCGTTCGTCGACTTGTTGCCCGCTCCGAGTAATATCGGGAGATACGTCTCGGCGATCGGCTGGTTTCTCCGTGGAGCACAGAGTGATTGAGATAAGATGCATAATATAATCAAGATGAAAAGTTACTTATTTTTATCGAAAATCTTTAATATATCTCACTCTTCATTACATTTCACGTAGAAATATTTTTTCCAAAAAAAGGATTGTTTTTTTCTTTAGAACTAGATATTTGGAAAGAATTAGAGTTTAAGAGAATGACAGTTTATCATATTATATGAAAATTTAATAAACAATAGTAAGAAAAAATCAACTGAGAAATGTTTAACATAAATAAACGAAGTAGGTTGTATTTAGTCAATTGTAGTATTTTGATACCTAATAATATTTTTGTACAAATTTTATAATTTCTTGTATGTCAAGTTTTGAGATTGATAAATAATCAGCGAAAAGTTTGTTTGAACTGAAAATTGTAAAATTTACACAAAAATATTAGGCATCAAGATCCACTTTCAAATATGACCTTCGTTTATTTGTATCCCAGTAAGCAAGAAACATTTTGAAATATTCTAGCAACATTTCAGCAATGTTGTTGGAATGTTTCAAAATGTTTCTTGTTGAAACGCAATGCTATGAAAGTAATTTACACATATAAATGTTGTAAGACCACTGGGTTCCAAGAACATATATTTTAACCGAATACGTTTGGTCACCATGTACCGTTGTATACCACTACAGTTGCAACACTGAATTTTCGACATCATGTTAAGTGCAGTCTACGCATTATGTCCAAATGTTATTAGCGGCATGATGACAAGAACGACATCCTTTTCGGTTTTATTAGATAATTCCCAGATGAGTTAGTGGTTCGTCTCGTCGTAACTTTGATGGCAATAGAATCGATGTTTGCTATCAACGTGATGTTCGCGACAAGTTAATTTCATCGTTACGTATACATGGAATCGATCGAACTCGAATTTTATGATCCCCGTCTGTAGTACTTTCATGTCAAGCGCACAACAATAGCGATATCTACATCCGAATGGTTCTAAACCATCGGCGTTTTCTGCGAACGAGTCAACGTTAAATATCACTAAAATTTTTTAAATCTCTATAGCAATTGGTACATATTACTCTAGGAAACTAATAACGAGGATACAATAAAAAGTTTTGCGTATTTTTATTAATCGCTAATCTTTCTCAAATTAGAAGACATGAGGTGTTCGGGGAGACGCTATTAGCGCTATTTGTGTCATTCTCTCTTTGTTTTACGTCTAATAAACAACGAGAAGATGGAATGATAAAAATAACGCTAATAGCGTCTCCTCGAACGCATCAATGATGTCTCGAATGTCACAAATCTCAATTATATATTTTATACATATATTTGTGTATGTTTATAGCATGTGACTCCCGAGATCAGCCATGTATTCTAACTGTCGCGACCCATCACGATAATCATCAGGTAAGACGCAATGATTGCCTGACGTTTTCACGGTCGCGGAAAGTGTATCACAAAGATCAAGGGGAGAAACGATCTCACTGAGCGGTGGTGAATGAGGGAGAAAGTGTAACCGATCTCCGAGAGTTCGAAATTGAAAGTAATTTCCTCGGTCTCACTCTTTCTCCGCCTCCTTTCTCCTTTCTACAGAAGCCCACGATCATTCTTTCTCCCTGACCGAGATCCAGGTCAAGTTCACTGTCTGTGCTCGACAGTGTCTTTCTCTCTTTCTCATTTCACTTTCTCCCTTCTCGTCACCCTGCTCTGCGTCCGTCTTCTCTCTCTCTCTCTCTCTCTCTCTCTCTCTCTCTCTCTCGCTCTCTCCCTATCACTTTCTCTCTTCCGTGGAACACTGCTTGATCTCTGCTCTCTCCGCTTATGCAAGAGGCATTACACCATCGGCGGCAATTTCATTCGTACGTCGTGACTCCGACAAACACGGTCGCGGTGAGTTATTATGTCAGTGTCAATGGCACCGATCTTGTAAGAGAAAGATCCCGATAGTTAGCGAGTACCAGTTTCATCGTCGCACGGTTCGCTGAACCGAATTCCCCTCCCTCAGCGTTCGATGAGCCAAGGTGAACCAAGGTGAGCCGAGGTGGATACATCGTCTCGGATATCTCTCGCGAGTACATCGTGCAGGGCTCCGCTGGTCGATGTTTTACGGCTGCTCTCGTCTACCCGATGAACTCCTCTCCGTCGTAAATATGGACGATGCACTGTACAAACGTACGTATGAATAGCGGTTGAGAGGAGGGACAGTGTCGGTTAACTTCCTGGACATTGTTCAGGTTTATCGGCAAACGCAGACAATTAACGATCGTTCGATCAGAATTTTTGTACGTTTTTGAGGAAGAATATGACGCAAATATCTTGCAAGGACGGAAGATATAATCGGATAAATTATATACCGTAGGCCGTGTTGTATCAAATCGGAGAATGATTTTGCGAGGTTTCTTTGAAAAGAAAAATAAAACGCATAGCTTCTTGCCGTTAGGCAAACTTTGCATAGTAATTATGTGTATAGTGAGTGTCTTAATCTTGTAATCAATAAATCTGATAAATGGACCATCGATTTGCAATTAGATAAGCGCATGTAGTAAATTGCTTTACATACACGATCTTTCTAATTACATTCTTGATGAGATCATCGTTAAAATCATCCTTTCGTAGAACGTGACTGTGTTTCTCTGGATTTTATCAACCTTTATGCGGTCGATTTAACGACCACACGGAAAGGAGACTCGGGGGAACGATTCAGGGAAATAACGTTACTTCGCTGTAACACATATGAGGCATCCCATATAAAAATCGATAAAAAGAAGCACGTCTTTTCTCACAACGGGAATGAATGGAGGTAGAGATTCGGTGAAGATTTCACCGTAAAATTTTTTCTCGGAACGATTGGAGAAACGTTTTTTGGTCCAGCTGCGAATTTACCTTCATGTTCATCGATGTAAAGGATTGATAGTGAGTCAGCGGATTAAATTTCTGATGTCATTGTTCGATTTTTTCGTCGAATTCCCAAATAGACCTTAACATAACTTATTTATTCTGCTTCTCGGCAATACGTATAATTAAATCACATTAGTAAAGAAAAATTAGAAATTAAATTAATGTAGTGAAATAAGGTAAAGAATCTTAAGACTCCTATTTTCAGTCAAAATGGTTCTTGATAATATTAATATGTAAATTTGCAAGTACATTTATTGAGCATCACGATAAACCTTTGACTGAAAATAAGATTCTTTTCTGTTATTTGATTTATTCTTCTAAATTTTACTTTAATTGTATAAATGTTATCAATGCAAATATATACAAATTGTCCGTACGAATTTATTTGAAAAAAAATTAATTCATCAATTTCAAACTTAATTGATTCTTCACATTCTGATTCCTTTCCGATCATTTCCCTTTCGTGTTGGTATCTCATTTCAATTTCCGAAAGCTCGGAGGACGAGCGTCGCAAGCGAGAGCCCCGCACAACAGATACACTCGCATCGAGGCGCGTAGCGCGAATGCGCGTATTCACGACGGGCGCAATCCGCCGTTTATGCGCATTCGCGCTTGCGCATCGCTGCTCTTGCGGCGCGGCGACCGACCGGTGTTCCTCGTCGTTCTGCTCCTCTCCGGTCCGTTCGCCGATGACACCTAATACGTTCAGGACAATTCGCGTGCATCCATTCGTGAGTCGGACAGCGAGGATGCCGCTGAAGAGAAAACGCCGGACAAAAGGTATATATCCTTCCATCCCGTGCCGATACTCGGGACGTTACACGCGTTAGTCCTGCGGACATGCCGTTGGTGGTCGAACGTTGAGAAAAAGGGGAAAAGGGAGGACGAAAAAGAGAAAGATGAGAAGCGTATGGGTGGAGGGGTGGGAGAGGCAGGAGGTAACGTGAGAGAGGAGGAAGAGAGAGAGAAGAAACGAAATAGAGTAGGAGAAGAAGTGTGCACGAGAGGGAGCAAGAATAGAAGAAAAAGAGAGGATGCTCTCTCCGGTGTGTAGCCTGCGGGTACACATCTCCTCGCGTTGCTCCCCCGCCAATCCGCTCGCGCGGCGTGGGGCGAGTTTAAGGTAGGGGGCCGTACGACGCGCACGGTGGTGGTGGCGGTGGTGCGCTACGCTGCGCTGCGACGGCGGTGGCGGCGGTGGCGGCTGCCAAGGTATTTAAGGTACCGTGAACCGGCGGCGCACGAGTAGTTCACTTCTGTTCGGTGTGGTGTTGCGGTGATTTTGAGGGACCAGCTAAAGAGAGCGAGAGAGAGAGAGAGAGAGAGAAAGAGAGAGAGAGAGAAAGAGAGAGAAAGAGAGAGAAAGAGAGAAAAAGGGGGGAGAGAAAGAAGAGAGAGAGAGTAAGCTCTTTCGCTCGTACGCGCTCATCGAGGGTGCGAGAGAAGAGCCCGGGTTCCCTCTGAAAGACGATCGCGGCTCCGGAGCGAGCACGTAGATTTGCCGTAAATCTGCGATAGATACGCGTCCGACACGGTGCGAAATAACTAACTAAATCGACCGTGCATCGAGAGGAGATCACGTTGCCGCATCGAGCCGTCAGGGTCGTCGACGACCGTGCTGGATAGGTAAGTGATCGTGAAGAGTACTTAGTGCCGGTTTTCTCCTCGGCCGGTTGCTGAGGGTGGATAAGTGATTTAAGCGGGTTGGTCGCGCCTCCTTCGATGATATTCAAGTGATCAAGATCAGTGATTCTCGGTTGCACGCGGCTGTGAAGGGCTGTCGTGATCGTCGTCGACGTTATCGTTGCCATGGATCTTAAGAATTGTGATGATGTGCACCACCAAGAGAATGTCTCGATTCCCGAGTGATACGAAAGGACAGATTTAGAAAATTTGCAGAAAATTCGGATGTTCCGAGAAGGGTAATAGTGAAGTAACTCTGTTGCATGGAGAATCTTTCTGCACACCTGGTGTTGCCGGATAAGAATTCGTTTATCATGCGTGATTAAGTTATATTTAGAAAACAAGAAACTTTATTAGATAATTTATATAGAATTAGAAAAAATTGTACATTTTTGAATCTTTAGATATTTATGTATCTTTGTTGCTTTTGCTGTAAACATGAAATCGTAAAATAACAATCAATTTTCTGTTAAATATTTCACTTATACAGGAACGGTTGTTTCGTTAATATATAATTAGCAAGAAACGATCGACCACTTATTATCAAATTGTAAATTTATTCGTGTATCGATTCTTACAGTTAAATGAATAAGAAAAGATTAAGAATGGGAGAACAATCGCAGAAATAATTTCTTCTTAAATGGACCGAGAGTCAAACCAAAAAGAGCCGGTCCGTACTGTCTAAATAATCAAGGCGGCGTACAATAGGTATGCGTGTCGACTTGTAGCCAATGAAGGAAATCAGACGTGCACAAACACTTCGTACAATTAAAAGATAATATTTGAATACCCAGTCAAACACCGCCAATACGTAAATATCAAGGAACACCTCCGTTCCAATTCGGAGGATCTTGGATATCCGCGATATCCGGAAGATCATGGGATAGTCGCGAAACATTACGAGAATAATCTCGCAAATTACAATCTCAGAGATGATATAATTAAAATAAAATATATTTCATACAAAATTTATTATTGCAATTTTTTTGGCGAAATTTAAACTGAAATCGTTAAAAAATTCTAAAAAACTTTCTCGAAATGTGATTGAACTCTTCGCAGTGTGTGCTCCTACACGGGATCAATAACCGGAAGTATATCGATTTTTTTAAACGACAACTAGTTGAGGAGAATTTAAAACAGGCCGTACAGTCTTACATAATGAGTCACAGAAGTATTGATGGGGATCGGAATAATAGTCCCGTGCGAGAGAGCGACGAAAAATGCAAACTAGAGGAATCTACGAGGAATCCCCTCGGTCCCTCTTTGTATCTTTTAGTGTAGAACTGTCTTGGCATTCTTTTCAATAATGATGAAGAGAGACGTATGTGAATAAACGGGACATTCCTGTGGTGGATCTCTTAATCTCATGGAAACCATGGCGGCGATGACGACGACGATCACGGCGACGACAACGATCGGAAATTCTGCATGACGCGGCGCCTCGCGTTCGAGCACGTGCAACCGCTGTTGCTGTTACATTCGCGGTCGATTGTTGCTATTTTCCTGACGACACGCCGCGATCTCGTCGTTCGCGAAGCAATCTTGCTTCACGCAAAAACGAACGGTCGGTAAATCCGTCACGGTCGACGTGCGTCCGATAGCTCGCCTATCGCGTAACGATCAACGGGCGTGATATATTAAATCGCCTTTCAACGGAAACGCGAGGTTTCCGATGAACAGTTAACTCTGCATATCGACCGTAATAACGCTGCCGATCCTCGCAGCCTCAACTGCGATGTTGCGTTTCTAATACGCAACACTAGTTAGAAGGCTTACTTGTCCGCATCGCTACCGTAACGCTGAACGTTAAGAGAAATGTTCCTCTCACGAGGAACACTTATTCTCGCTTTTTATTTCTTGATCTTCAACTACAGCTATATGTACACTGCATCTAAGTTTTAAAGCATTCTGTTTGAACAAAATGCAAATGAACCGCTTTATGGCGATTGATAGAGGAACTCTCAAAATTCTTTAGAGTAGAATCTCATTCTAAAGAATGAAAATTGTTTTGGAAAAGAATAATCGAATTTTTAATCTTCATAAGAAAAATCTTATCCCTTATATAGAGTGAGATTCTACTTCAAAGAATTTAAAGGGAAGGTTCAAAGTTTTTTTTACTTACAATTTAGAACTTTATGGTACCAATCGTATAAATTGTACCGTTTCAAATTTTCGCATCTGATTTGAAATGATTCGTTACTGTAGTCGAATTAATATTGTATATGATTAATCGTTAGAAATATATGTTGCGTTATTTGTAATGACATTATCAAATTCGTGAATAAATTTCGTGAAAGGTTATTTTCCACTCTACCAAGTGATTGTTTGCTATCATATTTATTTGAGATTTAATCACTAAATTGTTTAACTTGATTAAAAATTAAGAAATGAAAATATTCAACACCCAAGCGAATTTTGTTTATAAGAAAAAAAATAGATTCCGCAGAATCTGTGCATGAAGAGAAATACCGGGAATACGTTAACAAAGTACTCATTATTGAACGTTAATTAGCAAGATCAACCTGTGTCCACAACGATGCTCGCGCGCTTGTTAGGTAGAACGACGAAAATGAAACGTGGTAATGGAGTGTAAATAAGAATCGTGTCTCGGCAGACACGTGATCTAGGAAGGGCAATAACCGAGAGAGAGAATCCGAAGTTTGTTGGTCCACAGGTAGACGGTGAGAGCGTCCTTAAGCCGCTGAATGATTATTTTGCGATCAACTCAGCCATCGCTGCTGCCGCGCAACTTCTTGATAGGACATTTGCTGTTTTCTTTCTGTAATAGTACTGTTAGCCTCTTGCTTTAACTAAGACTTTGCTTGCATATATTTCCTATGCAAATTTTCCCAGTACTACACTAAGAAAAACATAAAAAATATTATTAGGCATGAAAAACCGTTTTGATTGAAAAATGTCTAGTGGGATTAATTGGAATTCTAGTTGAAAATGGACGATCAGAGTTTTCTGATTAAATCTACTAGAATTTTAATTGAGATAACCGGAGTTCTAATTAAAAGAATCTTTTGATTCGTCCATTTTCAGACATTTTTCTCAGTGTAACACTTGATTGCTTACATTTTATTTTGATGAGTTTCATTTTTACTCGGAAAATCTTTCTTTTAAATTAATTTTCTTCGTTTTGCACATTATATTTAATTATTGAGCCGATAATCTATCCGAAAAAAATTACCTTGCAAATTAAATAATTTGAGAGATCGAAGTTTATAAGATGAGTTAACGGTTTACAATTCTTTCGTTACATCAATATGAAAATATCGCATCTAAACTATCGAGGTTTTAATGTTACATTAAATGCTGTGTGAAATGTCGTACATGTCTTCGTCAGGCCCGTTTTAGATTCTCGCTTGACCGAGCACTCGAATCGCACGGATATTCACGAAACGGTAAAAACGAGAGAAGCGAACGGTGTGTGTCGAAGCAATGTATTCGTCATGAGCACACGCTACAATAAGTTTCAAAAGGACGAGGCGCGTGTCGGATCGTCGCCGTCGCTCGACTTTGAATGACGGACGCTTCACGTGACTTTCAAAGCGATCGATCGTTGAGCGTATTGAGCCGATAATCTATCCGATAAACAGTGTTGCGGATAAAAAAAAACAACAACGAGAGACGCTTGGACGGCCGTCGGCCTCCGGTTATAAAAGAACAGCGCGTTACAAACAACGCGTATAAAAATATCGAGTACATAGGCTCGCTCCTGCAGCGCGTGAAATGAGCTCGCGAATTCAATCGAACGCATCAATTCTTCAGTCACATAGGACAATACCGTAGAAATCGGATGGTTTTGCTGAATTTAGCGATACTTTAACAAATCGATAGAAGTCCTGGGACGATGACCCACGCTCTACCTATCGACAGACGAGACAAAATAGGAATGTGCGAAAATATCAAATTTCTAAATGGTATTTCCGCGCGTGAAATGCATTTGGTGTGTACCTCCGATCAATAAATCGAGTTGGACATTCGGTCGTGAAATATGGATGATAAATTATCAGCTTTCTGTTATCCGCACAATGAGGTGTGACACTGCTCTAGACACGCAAGAATTTTGAGCATCACGTACGAGAGTCGTGCTCTATCAGCTGTCGCGGTATTACAGACTGCCTCTAGTACGTTCGCGGCCGTCACTAAATATTATTACGCGAAACACTTGTTCATTCTTCTTGACGTTTTATCAACGGTTTTTTTCCTCTTTATTTCGCTCATTGAAAAAATCATACAATGTTCGAATAGTTTCTCTCTCGTCTGATCGAAATATCGCGAATGCGCGTCCGGTCGAGTACTTTTTATTCCGCGTGTGTTCGACCGTTCTTCGATATCGAATGCGGTTTATGACTTCTGTCCGGTAACCAGTCGTGTACTCGATAAAAATCGGCTACTCGGTCTCAGTGAGATCGGGGGGAATTTCAATGCGCGCATGAATCGCTCTAACGCCACCTTGGGACTCGTCCCACGTATAGTGCACGACCTCACGAACGGTTTTCAGAACGCTAGTCGACATATAGGTGCGGTTTGATTTCCTCATTTATTCAATACTGTTTAAAAAAAAATTTTTTACTATATAGTACTACAATATAATGTATCTTCTCGAAATAATTCTTTAACTCGTATCAATTAATTGGATCTATAAAAAATATACCTCTTTAAATTATATTTAAATAAATTTTTCATTTTATATTTCGCGATTCTTTTAGCATTACGATAAAATATTAAGTAACGCGTAATTAATACTATATTATAAGAAACATAATGAGAAATTACGTTGATATAAAATGTATATAAAAAATATGAGAAAAATTATTGTATACTAAATAATGATAAGCATCTATTTCTCAGAATTAGGTTTTATTATGTAAAGTTATTCTACAATACGCTATTTATAGAAAAAAGATAATTTAGATAATAATTTGAAAAATTTA